TGCTGCTCACACCCACCACCCCTGCCCCACCTCCTTGGTCCGGCTGTCAAAATGCTTTATGGTGTTAATACCTGCGGCTTTGTCAACAGGAGTTGTGTTAATAACATGCACATTGCAGCGGGCTAATGCAGACCATGTGCCCCCTCTTACACGTGTGTTCATGTCCCCGGGGGGTTCGGTGCTCAGGACCCCAGGACTGAAGGGGAAATGGGGCTGGAGTGTGTGTGTGTGGGTGGGTTGCAGCACCTGGGGCTGGAAGTTGTCTATGTGTTGCGAGCACTGGGGGGGGTGGGTCCTGGCAGCCAGGAGGCATTGGCTGCTCCTGGTAGCCCTAGAGGGAAGGGACACAAGGCCAGAGGGTGTCCCCGGGGGGAGCAGTTGGGGTGTCACAGCCAGGACCCATCCCCATGGAGCTGCTGGCTGCTCCCGGTGGCTTGGGAGAGCTGGGCTGGCTACTTCTGGTCCCAGTTGTGCTGCTCCAGCCTCCCTCCCCAGCACTATTTATGGCAAGGCACGTTCGGCTGCTCCCTCAGCCCCCCCAGCGGGAGGTGGGGAGGGGGACAAACCCCTGCCCGAGCCGCGCTGGAAGTCAGAGGATGGGGCAAGCAGGGTGAGCTCCAACCCCGGGAACCAAACCCAGCTACAAACCCTTCCTCACCCCCAAAACCCACTTCCCAGGGCTGCTGAGAAGCCCCATCTAAAAAAAACCAGAAAGAAACACACACACACAAAACAAAACACACACCCCCCCCAAAAAAAACCCCTCCTGCCTGCCCAACTGGAGCGGGTTCCCAGCCCGGGCTGGGAAGCTGGGAAGCAGCAGCAGCAGCAGCAGGGAGGGGAGGGGAGCACCAGCTCCCCAGCGCAGGGTAATTGGAGCACTTTGTCATTCAGATGCCTATAATTGGCGCTCCATTGTCTCGGCCCGGCCGGATGCTGCACAGAGAGCCCAGAACGCCGCATTGTGTGCCAGGAGGCAGCAGACTGGGCTGACGAGGCATCCAGATGCACGGGGAGGGGAGGGGATGAAGCTCCTCCAGGCTTTAGCTGAGTTTCTTCCCCTTCCATCCATCTATCCCCTTCCATCGGGCTGAGCTGGAGGGCAAAAGGGATGGTCCAGCCTTGGAGAATCACCTGCCTGAGAGCAGAGGGAGGAAAAGGTGGAAGATCTCAGGTCACCCCCCAGCATCCTGGTGGTTCTGAGGCTTCCTGAGCCCCACCAGCCCAGCCAAGGGGGGTTTTGGGGAGCAGCCATCCTGCAAATGCACCCCACTCCCCGTGCTGGGAGGTTCTGACCCCACAGCTCCTGGCATGTTTATGGCTTTCATATGTGGTGACAGGTTTTATAAGCAGACACACTCACCTCCATTAGACAGTGACATTGCTGATGCCCAGGGTGTTCCTTTCAAAGTCTTCATTTCCATCCTGGGGGCTGATTTCCAGTCTCCTGGAGTCTCTGCCTCCAAACCCTGCCCTGGAGCAGGGGGGGTCTCTCTGCCACCAGCCTGGAGACACTGCCCTGCCTTCCCCTGGGCTGGGAAGGGCTGAACCCTTCAGGGTGGCAAAGCATCTTTAGGGAGAAGCTGCCTGAGGTGAGCAACAAGAACAGTGTTGTCACCCTGCAGAAAAGCCCACATCTCTCCCCAAAACACCCACCAGCCTGGACCTTGGAGACAAGGAATGTCCTGACATCCCTCCAGCTGTAGCAGGGGCTTTCCTGATGAGCAAATTTGACATAAGCAAGTAATTTAATATCTTTAATGTGAGCCCTGACACAGGATGTTCGCCCCGAAGCAGGACCCTACCTGGATGCAACGTCTCCATCTCTCCTTGCAGGGAGGGTCACCAGCAAGTGTCACCTTTTGGCCCTTGTTTTTCTCTCTCAGGGACCTGCCTGGGGCTCCAAGGACAAGTGCTTCAGCAAGATGTACACGACGAGTGGGGAGTGCTGCAAAGCCTGCAACCTGGGAGAGGGGGTGGTGCAGCCCTGCGGGGTCAACCAGACTGTCTGTGAGCCCTGCCTGGACAGTGAGGATCTGCTGCCCCCCGGGGAGCACCTCAACAGGGCTGGCACAGGGGGGGCTGTGGGGACCATGAGCATTAGCAGGGACACCCCACGTGCATCCTCTTTCTGCCCTGGCAGTGTTGCCTGGGTGTGATTGGTGCTGCTTGCTTCCATGGCTCAGCCCCACCCCACACTCTGCCTTCCTGTGCCACCCACCTCCACACTGACCCCAGGATTCATTTCAGCACTTCCCCACATCATCTGCCCTGAATAATCCCCACCATGGATGCAGCAGTTCTCTCTGGTTTGAGACCTTCCAGCATTATTCCCCTCCTGATGCCTCCCACCCAACATTTGCCCCCCCTACCCCCCCAAATCCCCCTTTCCCACACTGACCAGTCTCCAGTCCAACCACGAGGGGATCTCCCAATGAGCCACCTCTATTTACTTTTATTAAACCCTGTAAAAGATGCAAAATGAGGGCAAGTTTAAGAGGGGAGAAGCAAATCACACAGGTCCCCAGGAGAGAGGGGCAGAGTTTTCTCCTGGGCAGCTCCAGGCACGTTGCCCATGGCAAATGCTTTATAAATGTTGGTCAGCGACGTGTGCTGGAGACCTGCTGAAATGTTTGCAGATGAGGCCCTGGCTGTTTAAACAATGCCAGGATAGGCATAAGCAACCTGCCCTTCACATTTACTGCTGCGAAGCCTTTGAAGCCCTAAGGACAAGTATCTGGAGGGAAAAGCTGTGCCAACCAGATCCCTCCAGGGATGGGATTTGAGAGAGGGAAGGGGACAGAGCAGCTGGGAG